GAGCAGAGCAGATTTCACTTACTGCCAGTTTTTCAAAGTCTTCAATCTTGTTATGTTTGTGTTGGATAGTCTCCAAGGCCAAAAGCCTCTCGTGTCTAGTCTGTTCAAGGTCTTGAATGGCTGTTTTTATATAAGATAATGAGGCTTTGGAGGCTGCTAGTTCTAGCTCACAGTGGTAGAGGGATTTGGCTAACTCTACACTTCCTGGTAATCCCCTGTATCTGGAGTCTAGCCTATCCTCCATCTGATGGTTTAGTGCTTGCAGTTCTTTACGGGCCTTCCAGGATGCATTCATTGCTCTTTCGGCATCTAAAAATCGCTGGAAATGTTGTGCTTGACCTTCCTACAGTATAAGGAAAATAAATCTTATTACATGAAATTTTCAATACACTTAAATTTCACAATTTTGATCAAAAAGGGGAAAAATGAAAACAAACCTCAATTAGTTGATGAACACTTTGTAGTAGGGTAGGAGGCTGGGATGTATCTGTTAGTTTTCCACCTTTCTCATACTCAAACCTGGTATTGACATATAAAACATAATATCTAAAGACAAGAAAACTTACTTTAATAAGCCAAAAGGACCTCGAAGTTTCAAACAATAGAACAAATCTATTTTGGCATTACTACCTTGTTCAATTGTTTTATAATCCAATGGGTCCTTTCAGCCTATGCGAAGGAGTGCTATTATACCCTTTAATAGATGGCGTAAAAGCTCAGTCTATGGTTCATCCTATCCCATAATAATTACCTTTAACCACTGATGAACAGATTTGTAATAATTATTGTATGTCTTCAAAAACATACAGTACAGACATTAGAGCAGTTTTCGTATGACTGTGAAAAAGTTGGTGCCCTATCCTTGTCGCGATTGTGATTGGTCTGGTTGTTCCATGACATTGGTGTGTCCAGGCTGTGTTCATACCGTGTTTGGGACATTTGATTAAGTGGAGAGTAAATTCTCGAGCAATGTGATTGGGCTGGCGCATCGTGTTCGTGCTGTGAGCAATCCAAAAAGTCATACAAAAACTGAGGTTATCAGTTATGAGGCTTTCCTAATTTTGCATGCAATAAATAGTTACTCTTGTATTAACACTTTGTAGTGAATGAATGAAAAAGGATAAGATGTTGAACTTGGAGCTCCTGGTGAGAAAAAGCACAACCCCTGCAACCACCCCTCCCATTATTCACAAGTGTATTAGGAATGGATAAATTATTTTCAAATTTGAATGAATTAAGCATACTTGAGTTCTTCAGCATCTTGCTTTAGGTTAATTTTCTCTGTTAACTCCTTTAAACTTGTGGCTGAATCTTGTGTTGTGACAACTAATGACAATAAAATGTCTTGTGAAGGATTCTGGTTAATGATAACCTGCAATAGAATAATAGAAAATTAATAATAATAATCATTATCTTCAACATCACCATTAGCATCATCTTTATCATCATCTTCATCATCATCATCATCTTGATCATCATTATCATTTGCAGAAGCAGCATTATCTTCTTCATAATTTCTTTACAATGTGTAATTCCAGAAAATATCTATACCCCACCCACAGAGGAAATTGGAAATTCTGGAGGGGAGGGAGCTCAGAGAAAGAACAAAATTTCAAAGCTCGTATGGAAGAAAATTGGAAGTTCCTGGGGTTAGGGGGGTCCTTTTACAAATTCCTTCCGTGGTGGGGTATGGTTATATCCTGGAACTACACAATTGAGACTTCTGCATGTCATAAATTATTTAGGTAAACCTGAGATCACACTTCACAACAAACCTGAGATACATGTAATTCAGAGTTACAAATTACCTCTATTGCTGACCACAGCTGTGCCTTACTTGCAGGTTGAGCAGCCTCTGGGTGTCTGTATTAACCGAGAAACAAGAAGATGATAGAGTAAGAATGAGATGTGGTTTGTAATGGAAAACATTACACCCAAGGTAAAGAGGTCTATCAAGCCTCATAAGACAGTGTACTACTGGCAGTAAATTATGTGTACAAGTGATGTAATGGCATTTAATAGTAAAACCAGCTTAAGAATAATGAGGTATGGAAGCACAAGTCTTATGTTTGTAGCATAGTTGCATTAATTACTATGTTTGTAGAATGGATACCCACAATATAAAGGGATAGAATAACAGTCAATGACTATCTGGGCATGCATATGCTTGTATCACCAATGAAAGTTAATCATGAAGTTTATGACCAGCTTTGTGTCAGTTGACAATCGCTCAACTGTCCAGAGATGCCAATGAACGGTCAACACTTGATCACACTTTAAAGATAAGATGTATTTAAGATATTTTTAAAATGTCGTGAATGCTTTTTTAGCTTACTCATTTTGGTCCACTTCTGATACACAAATGGCTTTTAAGTAAGATCCAATAGATTCACAGGCCTCACGTACTGTTCTCTGCAACAATCAATCAATTCGCTTACATTACAGTATATTATGCCTTCAGGTGTTTGATGGATTATTTGCACTATTCCTATTTCTAGGAGAATAGTAAGGAACTGATGCAGTAAACCTGTGAACAAGGCTACATGTAGTTGTTGAAATAAGATATAAGCAATGAGTTTAGAAAACAGGAAATTTATATTATCACAAGTTTGTTGACGACATTGTTTCAGCCATTATATAAACATGGGAAAAATGGTGAAAAGCACTCTGCTACATGACATTATTCTCTTAACACTCATGATCTACCATCCCTGTGCTGAATAATTATTGCACACACATTTTCTATTCAATGATCTTAACGAAACAAATTGGCCTTATTTTCATGTTCAATGATATCATCTCATAACCCTCTAGACTTCCAAAAATAAAGCAAAACATTTTGAGTGTACTTACAGTACAAGATGACTCCAAAACACTTGCCGAGGATCTATCACCCAGGCGTGCAGGAGTGCTTAACAGATCGGATCTAGTGTTGTCTCGCTGGACTGTGTAGTAAGTGGTCTCTCCAGCAGACTTTCTGTGAAAATACCAAAAGCCATTTATTGATCATCCTGTATTTTGTAATACAATGTATATTTTTATCTGAAACAATGAATGATTATAGATAATAAAACAAAACCCTGGCTTAATCCTTGAAACCTAGCTCAAGACATTATCATCTAAAAAATAGGCAGAAAACAGGACTACAGTATGTCACAACCAAAGGATTCAGTAATTTTTGAAGTAGAAAATTTTTGAAGGCTCTCTTGACAAAAGAGGTAGCTGTGTTCTGCACTAGATTAATATTATTAAGAAACTCTGCTAACCATGAAATTGCCAGTTTTAAAATAGCTGGGAGCCACCTTCTATTGAAATCTCTGACAACTTAAATCTCAACAAAACTCTGAAGAAGGAAGACTATAAGCTTTGGATGGAATGGAACTTGTAAGTCCAATGAGTGCATGTACAGTAAAACCAATCTTAGGAAAAAATAGGGAACTAACAATTCAACAGTAGTTTTAGACCTAGTTTTGAAGAGGAATATTAGAAAACACTGGGAGATAAACCCTTAAAGCAAGGAGAAGAGAGAACCAAAATGCAACTCAGGTCAAATTTGACACTAAGTTCAAGAATCAATTCCAGGTTAAGCTGATGACGTCAAGCCTTGTAAGCCCTACAACACCTGATCCATGCTTCCCATGTCCAAACAACATATCATATACATTTATTTAATACCTTTCAAGGTTGCGATGGTTGTCTAGTCTATTCTTCAACTGTGTGGTTAATTCTTTATATGCTTGTATAATATTTGTACACTGTTTAGAATGAGCTGATAGCAAAGAGCTTCGTTTCTGCAGGTCAGATATGTCTCTGGCTGCTGAACTGTATGCTTGCTCTGAAATTTAAAAATGTGCTCAGTATATTATATATTTTACCACAATTGTAAATTTTCTCGCGCGCTGATTGGTTAAAAAACGTCGTAAATAAGAGGCCATACCAACAAATGGTGTCATGCAAGATTTCGTGCAGTCTATTTCCTAGAGTTTTGTGAGTTTTGTAGTAAAAAACAAATTTACGATGGTTTAGCGTGGTATGTCCTCTTATTTACCACGATATGACGCCAAACGTTGGTCAAAATTAATTATGGACCCACTCGGATTACGCCTCGTGAGTCCATAACATTTTGACCAACTTTTGACGTCATATCGTGGTAAATAAGAGGACATACCACGCTCAACCATCGTAAATTTGTTAATTATTATATGATTTACTCAAAGTGCTCTTATTATTTTTGTTGGTCATTTTGACACAACTGCTCAATTTAAGAACTGTAGGGTCATGTGACCTATTAGTGCAAGTGGTCGATCATTTTAATAATTAAATAGTAATATATTTTATTACTTAATATATATTTTTTAATATTTTAAAAATCTTGTCAAGTGTTGTTTTGCACTGTAGGTTGGTTTCTTTATAGTAAACTAAAATGTTTCTTCAACCAAAAGTAATATTTATTTTTTGAGCCTTTGGGCATTAGCGCACATCTTCAATTAAGGATTGCAATGGTATTATTCATAATTGATCCATTATTACCTGTGATCAAGATCTCTTTCTCCAAATGCTTGATTTCCTTCTGGATATGATTTACCCTGCCTCTAATATCTGCTAGTTCTCTAGTGACTTTTTCGAATTCCGATTGAAGCTCCTCTCTCTCACCAGGCTTAGATAGTTTGGACTTTTTTGCATGGTTATCATGAAGTAATTGTTGTCTGGGTATTTTAGTCAAGAAATAATTTCCCTTTTTTTTATTAAAGAAGGCCATTTTTTAAATATCATATAAATTTTCACTAAAATACTATGAATCAAATCCTCTTTTTATTATATCTTGAAACCTTCCAATTTTATTGATACCCTGAAACAACCTTTGGGCTGATCTGATCAAAGTCAGGGCAGGGCTAACTCACAGATTGGGTTGGAATTTAGCTTGTTAGGTTTTGTGGAGGGAGGAAAACCAGACAACCAGAAAAACCCTCAAACCCTCAAGGGAGTGACCTAACAGACTTCACTCTCGTGTAATGCAGAGTCCAAAAAATTGAAATTGAACCATAGACTCCAGAGATTCAAGAGAGAAGTGCACTTACGTACCATGTGCAAAGTCTTACACCACTAGGAATCTTTACTATCAATTTGCATTGTGACTCCCAGCTAGAGTCAAAACGTGAGTCTGGTAGTAGGTGTTTAAGGAGTAGAAGGTTGAATGGGGAATGAAAAAGGCATATCATTAGAAAAATATCTAAATATCTAAATATAAAGCAGTGATCCTGACAAAATGTCATATTGACCAGCTTGAATAATTTAAGAAAATACATCCAAAAGGATACAATTTTAGATTTCCTCTGATTTTTTGTGCATTCCTTCAAGTAATAAGAAGAAATATGTTACTTTCATTTACACTAAGATATTCAAATTATTGTAGTAATCTTTATTCAATCTGAAACAACCTCTCAGCAGATCTCAGTCGTGACACAGATCACTGACAAATTGAACCCTGAAACAGCCATTGGGCTGGTCCACGTCAGGGTATGGTTGACTCAAAGATCTAACCCTGAAACAGCCTTTGGCCATCAAAGTCAGGGCATGACTAACTTATAGATTGAACTCTGAAACAACTTCTAGGCTGATAAAAGTTGGGACACACCTAGATCACAGATGGAACCCTAAAACAACATGTAGGCTGATCTAAGTTAGGGACCCAATTGTAATTTACGTTATATAATTGCAGGGATGGAAAACTTGAATAACGAGGGATCAGAGCAGCTGCATGTGCACCAAGGTATCATTTTTTCATTGCTATGTGCTGGTGATATGTTACTCCTGGGAATCGAGTAAATGGTGAGAATATGTAAAAAACATACTCGAACAATAATTTATTTGATTGACAGTAGGCTACTGTCGATTAACCTGTTGTGACCCTTTTCTCTTATCACCTCATGAAGTATCATAAAACCATGCATGTATTCTTGTGCACAATATATCATAGCCACCATGTTGGTTGACTATACAAAACATTCCTCATTAAGCTTCTCTTGTTAGACCAACCAAGATGGGGGCTGTTTCATTGTTATTTGTTTTTCAAGGGATTTTTCAGTCACACTGTTGCACTCCAAGAATGATACCAGTACTTACTGTGCTGACTTGACATGTTTAACAACAAATTCCCATACATTCACCATGGAGCCTCTACTCAGCCTTCAATAGAAAAGTATAATCTTGTTATGAAATTTTAAGAAAATATTATCACGAATTTGAGCTTTATATTTTTTAATATATATTTTACTTAAAATAATATCAAGAAATTTCGTAAATCAGCTCTGGGCTAAACTTACATTTTCAAGTCTTGTGAGGTAGGTAAAGAAGTATTAACATGTTTTCCTTGAGGTCTAAACCTCATTTCTTCAACAGCCCATTTTCTCAGTTCTTCACAAACATCAAACTCTTGTCTCGGACTTAGACGAGAATTTTCTTCTAAAGAACTCATTTTAGACGTGAAAACCCGGTCTTAAAACAAGTAGAATAACATATTATAGTTCTATGTAGGATTTACTGGTTTTATATGGTAAAATTTGGTTGGAAATTGTCCGATAATCGTGTTTAATTTTTTCTTTTTGAAGGAACAAATTTGGCGCCTTACAACAACTAGTGCCATACTCCCCTCATCAAATTATTCCCATCATATCGAGGCTTTAAGGTAATTCCCTTGTTTTGCACTGCGCATTTTTCTGCGCATGAAACTTAAAGCATGGAACTACAAAATTTTAGGCTTTTTTCTTTCGGAAACTAAATAAGAAACATGTTCAAAACCAATTTTCACTTTTACCTATTTTTTGAATAGAGAAATTTCGATTTTTATCTGACTCGCCCCAGTCTCCACTCGGAAAAGTGTCAGTTTTCGATTATTTTGAGGTGTTTTTCAAGATATGTCAAAAACGAGAATGGTGACTCCCATTTTTTATTTCAGATTTTTGACAAATGCGATGCTCGCCATTATATATCAAAATGTGAAGGAAAGTTTATTGGATAGATTTTTAAATGATTTTGATGGGAATAGTTAACATGTGCAATTTTTGGACATTCGTAGAGAATTACATAGCTCCATTTTTCACTAATAGTTTAAGAATCATAGTCATCCAATGACTTTGATGGATTTAACAGTATAGATCTATAGATTATCTAGTAAACTTCGAGTTATAAGTACGTTTTGTTGTAAGAAAGTACTTTAAACTGTGAATAAAGGTTCTTGRTTACAGCTTCCGGTTGCTACCGCATTTCACTAAAAAAAACATAAATTGACATATTTTCGAGAGCATCTAGCGAAAAAACGAGAATGGTGACCCCATCTTTTTATTGCAGTTTTCAAATGTCCATAACATAATTAATGTCCATGCAAAGTTGCAGGGCAATGGTATTGGCAAAATTTCTTTCAAGGGAATTACCTTAAGTAAGAAAGAAAGAAAGGAAGGAAGGAAGGAATTAAAACAATACAGCTTTAAGTAATATAAAAGTTTATTTAGCTTCTACTTTGTTATTTCAAGGATAACAATAACAAAGGAATCAGTAAATAACATCGTTTTACCAAATTACTTAACTAAAGAAAAACTACATTTATTTTTACATTTAACAAGAGTCCAAATCATCATGGGCAGTTTTGAAGCTAGCTAGTCACTGAAAGAATGAAATTGCATTTCTTTTCAGTCAATATTGGGAGAATCTTGGATGATTGTAATTTCCACGTAGTTGATGGTATACCTCTC